TTCTATTTCTGTAAAGTAGGGAATAACAGGACTTGCCTGACTGAATGTGAGGAAGGGCAGGAGTCAAGAAATCTTGTGTAAGGTCTCTGAAGTTTGGAGGAGAGATTGTTGGAAGAACATGCAAGAATCATCTCATAATTAAAAATTGAGTTGTCTTTTCCAGTGAGCTTATGTGGGATTGTTCCCTCTGCTTGATTTCAGCCTCTATCTTCTCTTTTTAAATATTATTCCTTTTATTTTTTCTATTCCCTCCAACCCTCCTATATGCCATTCCTACTCTGTTTCAAATTCATGGCCTCTTTTTTATTTGTTGCTCTTACATACATACATATACATACACACATATAAACATACTTATACATACACACATACATATACATACATATGCATACACACATAAACATACATATACATACACACATATAAACATACTTATACATATACACATACATACATATACATACATATGCATACACACACATAAACATACATATATATACACACATATAAACAAACACGCACACATACATACATACATTGTGGAATACTAATTTAAGATATTATATTCATTTATGTCATGGAATATTTGTTTAATGATGCAATGCTGCATTGCATTCTTTTATGTTGCATTTGTTTAACTCTGTGTAGCTGTGTTACTTTGCCTGCCTAAAACACCTGTTTGGTATAATAAAGAGATGAAAGGCCAATCACTAGGCAGCAGGGGGATAGGTGGGACTGCCAGACAGAAAGAATAAAAAAAGAAGAAAAGAAGAGTGAATAAGAGGAAAGAAAGATACCAGGGGCCAATCACTCAGTCACACAGCCAGACACTGAATAAGAAGGAAAGAAAAGATATACAGAAATAAAAAGGAAAAGACCCAGAGGCAAAAGAAAGAATAATTTAAGTAAAGAAAAGCTGGCTAGAAGCAAGACAAGCTCAGGCCAGGAATTAATAAGCAATAAAAAGTCTCTGAGTGATTATTTGGGAGCAGGATGGTAGGCACCCAAGAAGAAAGAGTAAAGATCAAATAAATAAATAAATCTGAAACCTACATTTTGGTGTCCAATGTGCGGCCATATTTCCATGTGTCACCTGAGAAAGCTTTTCAAAAATGTGGCTATGGCTCCTTTTAAGAGGTTCTGCCAAACATTGGGCCATGAACATCTTGTAGAAACAGAAAACTAAGTAAAAACACTTGCCCCAGTACAGGGCACTGGCATTCCAGAGTTGAAGGGTTGAATGCAGCTCTCAGTCACTCATCTCCAACCAGGCTGTGATCTTTAGGCTTGGCTCTTATAACCCTAGAAGAAGGCAGAGCCAGCAGCCAAAGCTACTCAGACATCCTTGCTACACTGCTTAGCAGTTTAAAGGCTGAAAGATACACAAAAAAAGAAATGCAGATGGAAAAAAAAACCTCTAAATAGGTTACACTGTATTTAACAATATATACAGACTTAAGAGAAAGGATAGAGATAATCAAAGAAAAAATAGCTAAAAATTAAAAAAAAAATCTTGAAAGAGAGAGTAAGAGTAATATAAAAGAAAACAGTCATGTAAGATGGGAAATACATAAGTAGTCTGGATCCTGTATTGTGTTAATGTTGAATTTTTTTGGTTGCTGATAAATAATGACAAGTGCAGAAGGACATGGATTGAAAGAAGGACAGATGAAATAAACCAGCCTAGATATTTTAAGAATACCTTAACTTTAAAATGAAACTCAAAAAAAAAAAAAAGGCATTGCTTTGGGAAAGAGGTTTTCCATTTGATTTCCCAGGAGACAAGAGGCTATGGATTCCTTGAGGTTGATACGGATCATGTTTGAGCAGGAAAGACCTCCTGAATCTTGACACGCATATATCAACAAAGGCTGCAACTGCTCTTCCCAGAACATGACCATTTTCTCAATTTTCTCAGAAACCCCTAAAAATACCTTCTCCCACAGACAACAGTAAACAGTTTGGAGAACGTGATGCCCACATTTCCAAGAGATGGAGTGGGTAGTCTTTGGTTATTTGGTGGGTTATGAATCTTTGTTATCATTTAGGGAATATAGTAATACAGGATAAAAAGGCAACTGTTAATCTCAGACATTTTCCTTTGGTATGCATTTTGGTATATTGATACAAATTTAAGGTTGATTTTGTTGCAACACACTGCATATATGTTTCTAGTTTTGTGTAATGTATTGTAACTATGTAGCTAATTTAAAATGTAAGGTAAAGTTCTAGTTTTTGAAAGCTATTGTTATAAACTATTTAGGATAATCAAGAAACATGGGTCAGTAACTAGTCATTTGTAACAAACAGATATGTTTGGTATGCTTTTAAGATCATACGGAGATATATTTTAGGTAGATAAATGATCTTCAAACACTTCAAAAATCTATAGAATATGGAATTTAAAATATTTCACTAATTTAGAGATTTTCATGACAAGGAGACACATCTACTCCTGGCAGCATCAATTTATTTCATAAAAGGATGGAGGGCATCAAAGAAAATCCACATAGAATTTGCTTTCAGTGAGGCAATGCTAGCCAGGTGGGCAAGAAATTGCTTATGCCTTGACTGTTTGAAAGAATGTTATACAGACTGCACAGGCAAGACAGAAAAAAAGATTTGCACTTCACCAAGACAAGGCAGGGCAGTCCTTGGAGATTCCTGTTTCACAAAGGAGTCTCCTTTACATTCTGTAGGACACAGAGGAAAGCAACTGATGACCTTTGTCAATACAACGTGGGACTGTCCTTCACCTTCAGATTTCCTGGTTCACTGAAAAGTCTGCCAGATATTCTTGGCCTGTAGGTCAAAGATGAGTGCTTCAGTGTTGCCAAGCAGCTTATGTAATTGTCCAGGCAACCAGATATCTATGTTGTTAGTTTATATTACATCTTCCTTCTGGGATCTTTGATGGAGTTAAAAGCTAAATAATTAGAGTTGTAGTTTTCTTTAGTTAGGATAGAAAATAAATTAGGTATAAAATGTTGGAATCACTTAGATGAGATAAATAATGCAATATTTTCTCTCAACTTGCTAAATACAAATGGACAAAATATTGTAAAGGTAATTGTTAATTGATAGTTGCCTTTTTTGTATTTAGTTTTACTATATTAAAGTTTAAAACTTTTTGTTTCAATTTAAATGAAAAGGGGAAAATAGTGTGAAATAGTAATTTAAAATGATTTACTTTTACTTATGTTGTAGAATATTTGTTTAATGATGCAAAGATGTGTTGCAGTATTTTATGCTGCATTTGTTTAGCTCTGTGAAGCTGTGCTATTTTGTCTGCCCAAAGCACCTGATTGGTCTAATAAAGAGCTGAACAACCAATAACTAGGCATATGTACTCCAAAATGCATAATTGTACCCTGCTCTGCTCAGCATATTCTATCCAGGAGCCATATATTTATTCACAAATGCTTGGAAAGAATGACTTTTTCTGATTTTTTTTGTAAGTGTTTATCTTTCAGGCTTTATAGCAGGTAGGGGAAAATGGTCCACAAAGAGATAAGAATGACTTAGTCTGATTTTGTTGTAACCTGTGCTGAAACCAGGACTTCTAGCGTCTGGTCCAGATCATTTTGTTTTAGCCATGTTTAAGCATAGTATAATTTTTAATAAGGTATTCCAATAACAATTAAGTCAGTCCAAAGTGCACAATTTAAGACATTTACACTGAGATTCCTTACAAAGTACACCAGGTTTCTTTCACAAGAATGGGAAATGTTGTCTGAGAGATACTGCCCATGATTTAGTGTCTAGAAAGCTTGACTTAGGGGAAGCATAGTACTTGTGGGTGTTAAGACTGGCCTGGTCTCAAGATAACATAGGAGTCACTTAGGCTGTTGTAAAACACAAGTGACATCATTCATAAGGGTGGAGTTTATGGTCTGTAAATGATGCTCCAGTTTTAGGGAGAAAGGGATTGAGGAAAAACTAATTCTGGAAAATACAGATAGAGTCTATCTCATCAAACAGTAATGGATCACCAAATTGTAAGAACACATCATTCCTAGCATTCCAGGGAGAGAGGTAAGCTGTGTGTTTAATTTTCCTGGTTTCTCCAGTACCTATTTATTTGCACAAGGCAGTTTTGTCTTGTACATATTTTTTTCTGGTGGATGTGAAAACAGGGTTGGGAAGCATAGAAAAGAACAACATGGAACAATTAATCATGCCAGTAACACTTTCTGACTCAAATTTCTTGTAGTAATTCGGAAGTGGCTTCAAGTAAGAAATTCATTCTGTGATAGACAACACTTAGAACAATGAAAAGAAAAGCAAGGAAATTTCATAAAAGGACAATATATGTCAGGTTTATTCAAATATTTATTTCCTGTTTAATGCAGAACATAATGCAATGCTGCTACAAATGTTTGTTTAATGTAATATAATATTCTCATGATGATGCAAGTAGCTATATGGATTCCCTAAGTTTAACTTCAATGTGTGATTAATACTGCCCAAATATTTCTTCATTAAGTGAATTATTTATATAATTTTGATCAGTATTTAGTTTCCTGCCTTCTAGTGCTCTCCTAGTGCTTACTTGATATAGTAGGTTTTATTTTTTTAAAATAACCTGTGCTATAGGCTTTAGCCTTTGGGTTGATTAAATGTTACTTATAAATTATTTTTAAAGTCTTGCCACTACTTTGTTAAAATGACACCAGAAAGTGGATTTTAATCTTCCTGTGCTGTGCTGCGAGTCTCACTAAGATGTGTTTCACTGATGTGAAAGAAATTGATCCTCTCGTGATGGTTTTACTCTTGACCCAATTTTCAATAGATTATTTATGGTACCTTGTGTTACACAAAGAAGCACAGCTGCATTACCTGTTACAACAGTGGCCTGATCTTAGAACTGAATAGTAAATAAGTTGCTTTATTGCCGTGTTGTCTGGAAGACTTGGCCTGCTACCTTTGTCTTACTGTTTAGCGATTTATATATGAGGTAGCAATTTGACTCTGAGCAGAGAGAGGTTTCGAGTTTTATCATGGGGAATAAATCGCGGCTCTTTGGATTATCTTGCATCCTTCTTGCTTATTATACTTATATGCCCTTTCCAGAAAACCTTGAAGAACCCTGGAAAGTGAGACTCATAGACATTCTTACGAAAATAGCAACGCTTACGGTAATATATTTTTCCTGGGAAACTGGGAGGCCTTGTTACAAATTTATAAAAATGAAGTGTCATTGAATCAGTAGTTTGAAAGAGACTTTGCTTTTTTTAATGCTTTACCTACCAAATAATATTATAGTTAAGATTTTAGTTAATTGCTAACATAATTTATTGTCTAATGAAGACACACAATGCTTGTAAATGTTACTTCTAAAGGTAAGTATATACTGACAGCAAAAATAACCAATATTTCTAAAAGAATTTTTGAGTAATTGTTCAGATACTTAAATACGATTGATGCTTTTCAGAATGGCTCATACATTTTCTTAAACTCACATGTATAAATAATTCATATCATAAAGTTTTGAATTATTTTTAGCCTTCTATTGTTTTAGTATCTTTTTTTTTCTATTTTAGGCAGTTCTTAGGCTTCCTGTACTCAAAATTGTACACCCTAGTGCCAAAAGAAGTTTATATTTGGCTTACATCATCAATTTTAAGTGTGCTAATAATTAGTTAAATGGTAGTGATGATTTCATTACATGTTTATATAAGTGCTGTGTTAATATTAAAATAAAGTATCATCTACTCTGCTGGAGAAGAATGGCAATCTTGTTATGCTAGACAACTTTTCTGTTTTCATGCAAATTTCTGTGATAACATACCCTGGTAAAAAGCCAGGTGAGAGTCCACAACAAAGAATACAGGCCATTATTTCAGGACAATCGGGGTGCTAAGGGATCGATGTGCCATCACTTTAATAATCAAGACAGGAGATAAATAAATGCATATATGACTACATTTAGCTAGCAATCAGGGTCCTGCCTGGGAAACAGAGCCTCCTACCTTAAGGCTGTGTATTTTCATATCAATTAATGTTATCAAGACATTTCCCCCATAAACATGCTTACCAGCTAACATGATCTAGAAAGTCCCTTGAGGAGACTCTCCTAAGATGATCTTGGTTGTATGAAACTGACAGTCAAACTATTCATTATAGTAACTGACACATTTTCTTCCGAGTCCAAAATTAATTGAGTTATCCTGGTTTGGGCTTCTTAATGCCTCATGTTGTTGACTGAACAGTAGGGAAGTGAGGGTGGACAAGTGCCATTTTATAAACGGTTATGACATCATCCCTGACTAGTACATACATCACTGGTTAGTCCTGGAGTGGTACAACCATCACTAGTTCGTATATCACCAAAGTGACTCGATACTTGTCGTCTATCGATATAAATGTATTTTGAAAGCAGAGTTGTAAAAATTTGCCTTTGTGTCCTCAAATGTAACATAGAATTATGAAATATATAAATGTAGATGAAAAGGCTGAAAGATACACAGTAAAAGGAAGTCTAGACAGAAGAACATCTAAAGTTTTTTTTTTTTTTTTTTTTTTTGGTTTTCGAGACAGGTTTCTCTGTAGCTTTGGAGCCTGTCCTGGAACTAGCTCTTGTAGACCAGGCTGGCCTCGAACTCTAAACATGTTTTTATGTGTTTAACAATGTGAGTAGACTTAAGAAAGAAAGAAAATGGTTCTGGATAGTTATAGAAAACATAATATATATAAAAAACAAAGTTTTAGATAGATATTAGAGTACTGTTAAAAAAGCCAGTCAAAGATAAAAAATACACAAGGAGTCAGGATCGTATATAATATTGTGTTAATTTTGAAATTTTTTGGTTGCTCAAAAGCAAAGGACAGCTGCTGAGAGATATAAGAATAAAGGAGGTACTGACAAATTAAACCAACTGAAATATTTTTAAAATGTCTTAACTCTAAAACAAAAATAAAAAAATAAACATATTTGTAAAATGTAACTTAGAATATATGTTGCTTTGGAGGGAGAAGCAGTTCTGTTTTTGTTTCTATAGGATATCAAAAGCTGTGGGTTCCTTCTAGGTTAAAATGGTTTGGTTGAGCAAGACCCTATGAAAGGTATCCACTGGGGATGATGGCCCAGGTGATTCAACATCCACAACAGCTTCAAGGATACTGGAAGAGATGGACCAACCACACAAAACACCCCAGTCAGGACTTTAATGTAATTCTGCATTATTTTTAGGATTCCCATAGGATTACCAGTGCCCCCAGTCAGTAGAATGTAACATAGAAAACTACACTCAAATTCCAAAATAGTGTTTATAAATGATTTCATTTAAAGAAGGTTGGTTATAAATGGTTAATGGCCATAGTCAATTTCTAAAGAAAAAGGGGAATATGATATAGAAATGAGGGGAAAAAACTTAGATTATTAAATCTACCTTAATCCAAAAAATAATTGTTTAACTCAAAATACTTTATATTAGTATAAATTTTGGTCTATTGATACAAATTTAAAGTATATTTTGTTATACTATTTTTATATTTCCACTCCTATTTAAAGTATTGTGATTATGCAACTTATTTAAAGATGTAACATATAGTTAAGAAATACAAATAAACAGTCATCTATAGTAGTCAAATTTATAGACATGTTAGGTTTTCCAGATATGACAAGTCTCATTTCAGAAAGATAGAATATCTTCAAACATTTCAGAGGGCTACAGAATATGGCATTAAAAATGTTTTAAGAGCTTAGAATTCTTTGGATGTGAGACATCTGCTCCTGGCAGCACCAATTACTTCAAGAGGATGATGGGCATTGAATAAACTCCTTGTGGAGTTTGCTTTTAGTGTGACAAAGCTAGCCATTTGGATAAGAAACTGCTCTTGCCTGGACTGTTAGACTGTAAGCTGTATAAACTGGACATGCTGGACCCACAGGAAAATAACCGATGAACTTCTCAAAAGAAGGAGGGACAATCCTTTAGGTTCCTACTTTATGAAAGAGTCTGGCAGACATTCTGCAGGACACAGAAGAAAGTGACTGACAAAACTTTACCAGAATAGGTAAAATAGGCCTTCAAATTTCCTACTTCACTGAGAAATCTACAAGGCACTCTAGGCCTGTAGGCTGAGTAAGGATGTCCCCATGTTACAGAAAACCTTTTTGTAACTGTCTAAGCAGCCAGGTAGCTTTGTAATTCTAGAATTTTGGAAGTTGCTCACAATGGATTTCCTGTTTACTCATATTTTAATTTTGAAATAGTCAAAGACAAAGAAGATGGGTTGGTGGGTAAAGCACTTGTCAGGAAAAGATGAGTTTTGGTACCCACAAAAAAGCACATATAGTGGTTCCCATCTGTGGCCCCACAGCTTCCATAGTGGCATGGGAAGATGGGATATGAGAATCCCTGGAGGTTTATGGGGTATCTCATCTGGCATATGTAGTGGCAGAGAACAGCAAACCCTAACTCAAATAAGTTGAAAACTGAGATTCAACATCTGAATGTATTCTCTGGCTCCCATTGATATATATGGTACACAGATGCCTGCACACACACACACACACACACACACACACACACATGCACGCGCGTGCACGTAAACTTTAAACACTGAAACTAAATTCAATGAATAAAAATGAAAATAAAATATTGGGAATAGACATGCAAAGAAAGGAAGCATAAAAGGCTATTTTCAGTTAGTATTTTTAGGTAAAACTAAGCTAATAAGAACTTAACCCAATGAAAGTACAGTGGCAAAAATTTGTGGAATCAAATGAGATTATCTTGATTTCAATTTTTATATGTTTTAGATTTATTTTAAATTCATAATGGGCTATTATTGTTTGACAATTTCATAAATTTACATAATGAATTCAACTCTTTTTCTGAAACTGTTCACAAAATTTCCTCTTTAAACTCTTAGGTTTTCTTTGTGAATCCCCACTAATTTATTTAATGCCCTGCTTTAACATGGGGGCACATTATGTACCAGCACAAGGCTAGCTATCTACACCACTGAGGAAAATGGCATCTCCCCTCTCAGCAACCAATAAGTGTCAGTATTTCCTGAGGTGTGTGTGGGACCTTCTTTACAAGTCCCTTATCTATCATGAAATGTTGATTGGCCTAATATTATACATGTCTTATTACAGATGAATTTATTGAGATTTCTAGAGTATAAATAAGAGTACATGTATTGGGACATGTAATAAATCTGATTTTTTGTCTAGCAATACTTTCAGGTTTTTCTAAAGTAAAGATAATCCTTTGACATATTTAGTGCAAATATTTTCTCATTTTCTTTTCCTTTGTGCTTAACTAATATTTTATTGTTTTGAAAATATAAATAAAATATATATTTACCGATTCTATATCTATCATCTATCTTTCATGTTTATATTTATATCGATATTTTGATCATATTTATTCTACTTTCCCCTACAACTTCTCCCAGAACTTTCATATTGCATAGCCCTCACAACATCATGTCCTTTTTAAAAAAAATTTTTCAAAACTCACTGCGTCCAGTTAGTGCTGCCTATGGTCATAGAGCCACGTGCTGGAGCCAGTGTACGTTTCCATATCCCTGAAGGTACCTGATCTTTTTCATCCCCAGTAGACATTAACTGTCAACAGCTCCTAAGTTGGGGTTTGAGCTTCTTGTGTTTCAAAGCTTCAATAAATGCTTCCATATTATTTGATTTGGTCATTGCACATCTCACACAGATAACCAGAGCATCTATGAGGTGATAAGTGCAAGTGCCTTGTCGTGTTAGGAAGACACTGTATTTCAGCCATCTTTACCTTCTGTGTTTCCATACCTTTCTTCTCCATCTTCTGAGATGTGCATTTCCCCTTTGGTGAAGGATGTACTATACACACTATGGCATTATTGCACAACTTACTTTTTTTCCCTTTGCATCTTTATGTGAATTTAGTGTTGCTAAAATAAGAAAATAATGCATACATTTGGATGTTGTTTTGATAGGCCNATACGGGTCTTATGAACTTTGAAGATCTTTTCTTCATAATAACGAAAACTCAATATATAGGACCAATTTCAGATGAAAACCTTACAGTGATTGACACAGACTTCAGTAACATTCCTGTTCGTCTGTATTTGCCAAAAAGGAAGTCTGAAAGACAGAGACCAGCTGTCATTTACATTCATGGTGGTGCTTTTTCCACGGGAAGCTTCAGTAAGTGTATTTTGTAATGTGTGTGTTTTAATTTGATTGCAATTGCTATATGAAATGGAATTCTCTGCATCTTATGATCTTGTTACACCTCCTGAAATGAGTTAATTTTTCCATTGAGCATTTGACAGTAGTCACTATGTTTGATATAATATATTCACTTTTTAAGTTAATTGGTTTTTGCTGAAAAATTTTGACATTGTTTTCTGTTAAGATTTTAATCATAAATTAATTTTTTATCCCTCCTGATATAGCATCTAAATTCAATCCATAGTTAATTTATGTGAAATCTTTGTAAACAAGAATATGCTGATTGATTTTAACTAAAATTAAAATTTTCACTTATGTTCAAAAAAACAACGTAAGGTTTATTTTAAAGCCTATGCCTCTCATTATGGAAAAATCATTTTAAAAAATTATCCTGAGAAGTATATTTGGCTTTAGGTAAACTAAAGTCCCTTTATTAAAAAAAGTCCGAGAACTCTAAAAGATCTTTAAAGATAGATGAATTAAGGTGACTATCTAAATTTATGAATATTAGAATGATGATTACAATATGATCTTCAACTACCTTCTAGAGTTCTGATTTATAGACAGTTTTATGGTACGGACATGGTTACTTTGAGAGAGTCAAGTCATAAACTTTTTCCTCTCCTGTAAAGTAAAATATAAATCCTATGAAAGGATAGCTTGCTGCTATTTCCGCTTTGGGACTGTGATCACCACCACTGCTCCTCAGTCACTGTCTGTGAGACAAAGCCTGGTGTAGTCCTTCAGTCCTGCTCAGCCCCCGCCTCCTCCAGGTGTAACTGACCACAGAAATGAGCAGCAGGAGAGCAGGCACAGTGCACCAGGCTGTGAAACTGGAGTCAGGTGAAGCTGGCAACACAGGAAGCCAGAGCAAGTTTTCTGAGAAACCCAAGCAGGTCATCAAGGCACAGCAAGCTTCTTTCATTGTGACCTAGCAAGAGTCTTCTCTTCTGGCCTGGGTAAGGAGGGATTTAGTGGGTAGGAGTTAAGGAAGGTTTGCTTACTCCACTGGAGTTTTCTTACGTGTGGTGGCCAAAGTGTAGACTGCAAGATTTCCATTAAGTAATCACAATTCTGATTTCTCTTAGGATTCATAGATGTGTCTGGGTTTCCGTTGCCTGGCATTTACACAGCTCTGTTCTGTATTTATGTCTTTCATTTCAGAGATGCGGCCCTATGATTTTGTGAACCGAATGACAGCCAGCAGACTTGATGCTGTTGTGGTGGCCCCAGAGTAAGAGACTGGCTATTTTTAGTATTGTGCCCTTGCCCTCCCACCTAAGCTAGTTTACAGTACAAGTTGCAAAATCCTCAGTGGTGGCTAGATTGCTGCTAGGAAATTTGGGGTTAAAATTGTTTTCTTAACCTTATAATATCAACATTTCCTCAACAAGGCTCCATTTTGCATTCATCTCTGCCATGGTAAACTCTTATGAGAAGCAGAGATGTGAACATCTTTGGCAATAGAGCAGTGGCAGCTTTAAGAGCATAAATCCTACCCAGGTAATATGTCTATAGTGTATATTCATCATGTCTAAGGGTGTAGTAAGAAGGCCCCTTGGTAGTTCCTGGCCACTTAGCTCTGAAATAATCACACACAAACTGTATTAATTATATCACTGCTTGGCCCATTATTTCTAGCTTCTTATTGGCTAACATTTACCTATTAATTTAACCAATTTCTATTAATCTGTGTCTTACAGTGTGGCTGTGCCTTACCAGCTAAAGTTCTAGCATCTGTCTCCAGCAGGGCTACATGACTTCTCTCTTACTCTGCCGTTCTTTCTCCCAGCATTCAGTTTAGTCTTCCATGCCTACCTACGTTCTGCCCTGCTATAGGTCCAAAGCAGTTCTTTATTCCTTAATGGTAATGACAGCACACAGAGGGAAATCCCACATCATGAAGGGTAGTAGCAATATATGTTAGAGTTATTATTGGGCCAAGTAATAACAGTTAGAACCAATGTTGGGACCACTCAAACTACTCAAGAACCTTTCCAATGACAGCTCTTATTAATTCATGACTTTTGTTCGAATGTTCAACAATATAACAGAAAGTTGAATACATGCTTATTGCTTTATGACGTTTTGGGTGTATTCTATACTTCTTATGGCTCATGAGGTTGGAGAAAATTGGCTTTCACCTGCAAATTTTATAGCATCGGAATGGATTTACAAAATTGGAGGTTTTTGCTGAATCATTATAAGGAATTTTTGCTTACAGTATAATAGAGTCAGGTAGCATAAACTAGTGGGTTCAGTACTGCCGTGCTCATTGCCACTGCTCGAAAGCAAGTGGAATCACTTATGTTTGAGAAATTTCTAACTTACAGTAGTAATGTCAGTTTGCCTTTATCATTATAATTTAACCAACTTTATCACGTTATAATTTACATAAGCTTTTAAGAGTGTAAAGTTATATCTAGTTTAAGGATTCTAAAATTATTGCAGGCAATTTCTGTTCTTCATCTTGAAATAAAATTATATTTTGATGTTTCAAGGTTGATATTATGCTGTTGTTAAACACTTAGACACACCTTAAAATTTAAAAATTCACAAGGACTATCTGAGTAATATTGTTTATTATAGAACTATGAATAATTAAAAAATTCTAATCCTAAATGTAAGACTTAAAAAAATGAGACTGTATAATTGAGACATGATTCTATAAAAGAATGCACAATGAGATGGAAGTAAGGATGAGGGAATAAAGATATTATATATTTTGTCTTAAGAATCATAGTATTTTAATAATCCTTATTGATATAGCTTACATATCCATATATCAAACTGCTTATTTTAATTCAAATCCTCATGCTTAGGAAATGAAATTCTACAATTCTGTGAAATTTTGGCCAAATAAGTTTCTAATTGAAGGCAACTACCAACACTTTGCTCTCAGATTTTCTGATTTAAATTTCTTGAATAATCTAATCTATGATCATGAATTGCTTTTGAGTCACCAACTCCATTCAGGGCCTGGTGCAGTTACAGACATCTTGAGGATGAAAATATATGCTATCTCATTCTTCTTCTCACTGGACTAATACCAAAAACACTTTAAACTAGAACCTATGTCTTGTTTTAAAGTAGAAACTATTAGTAAGCCTGGGTTTATTTGATGGGGTTAAAGATTCAAAATAGGGCCAAATTTTATTTATATATCTGCTACTAAAATTTAGAGATAATTAGATACTTGAGCCTAATTATCTGTATCTTAAATTCTTTGTTTCTTTTTTTTTGTTTGATTTACCTCTAAAGCTACAGACTTGCTCCTCAGTATCTATTCCCAGCTGCCCTTGAAGATTGTATTGTTGTGATCAAGTTCTTTCTCCAGGATAAAGTTCTTAAAAAATATGGAGTGGATCCCGGTCACATCTGTATTTCAGGAGACAGCTCTGGGGGTGCCTTGGCAGCATCAGTGACTCAACTGGTATGTTATGTGTGTTATGTATGATTGGAACCAGCACAATTTAGTCCTAACTCAAAGGAAGAACTTTAGTTATTGTGTCTGAGTGATGTTTTTACTGTAGTCTATAAAATGTAACATAACCAAATCAGTTTACTCTTTTGCATGATTTTAGATTTAGATGTGGCTTTAGTCAAGAAATTAGGTGATGTTGCATATGAATCTCATAATCCTTCTCTCTCTCTCTCTCTCTCTCTCTCTCTCTCTCTCTCTCTCTCCGTGTGTGTGTGTGTGCACATGTGCTTATTGGGCACTAAATCTAAGGCTATTTGCTCACTAGACAAATGTTCTACCTTGGAACTATGGAACTACCTCATTTTAGGCTCTTCTTGAGTTGGTCTCTAGTTAAGCATCTCAGGCTGAATTTGAATCTGTTCTGTAATATGGCTATGCCTTAAGCTTGCAATCTCTCCCCATCAGTCCCCAGCTACTTGGAATAGAGTCACACCATCCAGCCTTCCTTATCATACTAATTAATAACAATATAGCAATGACTATGAATGATTATTTAGTATAACTTTTATTGCTAGTTTTTCAAAGATAAATTATAAAACTTGTGTGAATTTGATGTCACTGTACTTGATGCAAAGTGATTATTTTCTTATCTCTCCGTCTAGAAGACCTAATAAGAAAAAGGTAAATGGAAAATGAGTTATTTGGGCTTATGGTTTGACATGGTATAGTACCTGAAGGCAGAAAATCCATGGAAGTGGGAGGAGTTTATCTCTGTGGAGCAGACAAGTGAAGCTGTTTTAATACATTTTTTGAGGACATACAGCAAGAGTCATGAAGCAGAAGCAATGGAGGAATAGTGCCCAGTGACTTATTCCTGATGGCTTATTCAGCTTGCTTGCTTATATCATCAAGGATTACCTGTACAGGGGTAGAACCTCCTACAGTAGGCTGGGCACATCAATCACTTGTTTAGAAAATCTTCACAGTCTCACTCACAAACTAATATTACAAAGACATTTTCTTTCTTGTTTCCTCCTCTCAAGTAAATCTAGCCCGTCTCAAATTTACAAAACAAAATGAAAGACAAACCAGCCAGAGCTCCTGAATGCTTGTCAACTTGACACACAAACACATCATTACTTAACTGCAACCTTCCCTTTCTTGTTTATGCCCAACATCTCATACTAATATCATTATATCAATATGAAACACATTGCAACTTTGAAAGTCCCACAATCTTTACAAATTCAAAGATATTGATGGTCAGTCACTCTAAAATACCCAGTTTCTCTGAAATTTCAAAGTCTATTACTGTGGGTTCCTATTAAATAATAAATTAATTAAATACTTTCATATTTGAAGAAGGAAGAATTAGAGCAATGTCTCAATCAGAACAAAGTAAAACAAAAGTCTAAAATAGGAAAACTTGGGATTAGACACTGCAGGGTCACTCTATAGGCTCCAAAGGTCTTGCTCCAACACATGTAATATGTCTCATGGGCTCAGGCTGTCTTAATGCCACACTAGCTGCTGTTCTTTTTCGCAAGACTATGGCACTGACATCTCCAAAATGTGTGGTCTCCTCTGCACCTGGCAAGAGCTGCTCATTTGCTCTCCTCAGCTGCTTTGTCCGTGATACATGGTTCCAAAACTCAATCCTATTCCATCACACTGTCAATCCCAGGGCTGCTCCTTCAACTGAGCCTTCATAATCACCATTAGCTTCTCTAGGCCCTCATGGTGCCTGCCAAAGCTTAGTTGCTCCCCATGACCCCTTCATTCCTTCAAAAATCGGTACCACATGGGAAATTACATAATTCCAAGTTCAGATGGCAGCAGAAGGTAGAAACTTAGCGCCTTCTGGACTATAACTGCTATGTATTGATCCTGAGGAAACCCTTCCCAGAAGATTTGGACTTAGTGATATCAGTGAAATTTTCTGTCCCACCTCCCAGCTCCCAAATAACCACACTGAAATGTTAATCTAATTCATCTTAATCAATAAAACCCAGGAGTCAGAAATTGGCGTAAAAACCTGGAAGACCAAAGACCCAGGAGAAGCCACTAGTTATTTCCCACCTCTTTTGTTGCTCAGTCTGATGGGCAGAGATCCTGTCTCCACCCCACTTTACCACTTCCTGTTTTCACCATCCAAGTAATTGAATTAAAGGTGTGAGCCACCACTGCCCAGCTTCTACGATTAAGTAGTGGCTGTCTCTGCCCTCTGATCTCCAGGCAAGCTTTAATTTTCAAAACACAAACAAAATATCACACAACACTACACTGAGACTTATGAATTATGAAAGCTTGACTGATAGCTTAGGCTTGTTTCTAACTAACTCTTACAACTTTAACCCATTTTTAACCAATCTACCTTTTGTCTCCTGGGTTTATTATCTCATCTCTCCTATCCTTTCTGACCAAGTAGCTTCCTCTGCATCTTGCTGGCAACTCCACCCCCCCTTTTTTTTCTCATTATTTTTCTTTTTTTTTTTATTTTATTGACAATAAGAAAAAAAAGTTTCCGCCTCCTCCCAGCCTCCCATTTCCCTCC